ATGCTCGGTATTATATGCCTCAACACACACACACCTCCACCGCGTGAAGCGCGTGGTCGACCGCTTCCCAGAGACAGCCGTGTCCGCCTTCCTTGCAGGCATGGGCTTTACCGTTCGGCATGCCGATTGCCATCACCGTCGACATGGACGGCAGCTTCATGGGCTATTTCAAAGATCGGCTCGAGTCGTACGGGGTCAACGTTTCCTACTGCCCGCCGGACGCGCATTGGCGGATCGGGACCGTCGAGAGGCATAACGCGTCATGGAGGTGGATTTGGATTCGGACCTGCGACGCCTGCGCTGTGAAGACCGCCGAGGAGGTCGACATGGCCACCATTGCCGTCAGCGAAGCCAAGAACCATGCAGTTCGTCGGGCTGGGCGCTCCGCCAACCAGTGCGCCCTGGGAAGGACTCCTCGTGTTCCTGGTGAGGTGCTATCCGACGATCACGGCCTTGCCGTCGCCGCCAGCTCCACTAAGTCGCAGCACGTGATGAACAACGACTTCTACCGCATGGAGGCCAACATCCACACGGCCCACTTCAGCTACGAGCAGCACGTGAGGAAGTCGCTCCTCAGGAAGACCCGCCACCTTCGCTACGACCTTGACAGGCTCGTCGCAGGCCAGCAGGTTGGACGCTGGCGCCGGGGCGCCAAGCAGCGCCCCAGCGGCAAGTCGTCGCGCCCAGGCTTCGTCATCTGCACCTTCCTACAGTGGGACGGCGGACATCAAGGACACGGACTCGGCCGCAACGCTTGGGTCAGAGTCGGTCAGACCATCGAGCTCTTCAGCCGCGAACAGCTTCGACCAGCCATTGGTTTCGAGCAGTGGGTACCCGACGCCAAGGACATTGAGGTTCTCAAGAGCAGCTACCACCTCATGACGAGCGAGACGCCGGGCCCGCGCCCGATGACCTTGCGGAGGAGGCCGACATCTTCGTCGACGACGGCCGCAACCTTCTTCCAGGCCGCGAAGGACTTCTGCCTCCACAGCCTGCCGATGCCAATCTTCCTGGAGCTCAGCCTGTCCCAGTCGAACCGCCGCCAGCTGCGGCGGCCCCGCCTCAGCCAGAGGCGACCCCGTCCGAGCCGACGCCGATCGAGACCGAGATTCCACGCGCGACCCCCACGGACGCGGAGGTCATTCAGGCCATTGTTTCCGTCTCCGCAGAGCCGACCACGATCGAGACCGATCCGAAGGTCAGCGCCCCCAGGTCGCCTCGCAGCCGAGTTGCCGAACACGAAGTCCCTCCAGAGGCCGACCCTCCAGACGGGAAGAGGCCCCGCGTGTCTACCTTGCGCGCGCAGGCTTGGTTGACTTCCTTCTGGGCCACCGAGGTCGGGGACGGCGCCGACGGCTCCGATGAGATTCCCGCCGTGTTCGCCAACGTTGGCCGCTACGCCGACTACGCTCACGAGATCGAGATCATCTACCAGGTGAACGCCATTGTCGCCGACGACGGGCCCGAGCTCCCCTTGGCGCCCGACTCCGAGGACGACGAGCCTGCCGACCAGAACCAGCCCACCATGACGAGAGCCGAGCGGAATGCCTACGACCGCGAGATACCATGGCGCGAGATCATGAGCATGGACGGCTCCACCATCCAGAGCTTCCTGCAGGCCACCCGCAAGGAGTATAGCAACTGGGTCAAGCGGGCGCCGATGGTCGTCGTGCCAGACGACATTGCCAAGGACGTGCTCAACTCGCCCGAGATCCGCAAGAGCTGCATCCGGGCGCGATGCTGTTATCGTGGCAAGAACTGCGGCCAAGGAGATATTGCTGCGAAGTGTCGGGGAGTCGCCGTCGGTTGCAGCGACCCGAGGCTCGAGGCGCTCGAGCGGGGGTCTCCCACTACGCAGCGCATCGGCTTCTTCACAGCCTGCCAGATCCTCGCCAGCATGAAGATCTACGACCCAGAGGGCAACTGGACCGCCTGCGTCGGCGACCTCGAGAACAGCTTCTCCCAGGGCAGCCGCGAGAGGGAGGACAAGGTCTACCTCATTCCGCCGCGTGACCCACTGGTCATCGCCACTGGCTCCTGGCCGGACACGGTGTACGAGGTGACATGCAACATCTACGGTTTCTCCGATGCCCCACTGGCGTTGTGTCGCCACATTCGACGCAAGATGTGCGATTTGGGTTTCGTGAGCCATAGCCTGGACGTGATGTGTTTTCTGAAGTTCGATAACGGACGCTTGTTAGCCATCGTTTTGTGGTGCGTCGGCGACATGTTCGCCGTATGCGCCAAGAGCCGTTTCGATTTCTCCCAGCTGGAGAAGGTTTTCGTGTGGGGCAAGCTCGTGTTTCTGCCTCAGGAGCTCGCGTGGTGCGGGCGTGAGATTAACCAGTACCACGACGGCCGGGTCGTCATTTTTCAGAAAGAGTACGTCAAAGGTTTAGAGGTTCGCCGCATCCCATCCAGCCGCATCCGAGAGGGAGGGTCCCTCACACCCGCAGAACGGACCGAGATGCGGAGCTGTATCGGAAGCGGTCAGTGGCTTTCGGGATTATGCCGTCCGGATGTTTCGTCGTATGTATCGTTGTTGCAGAGCGACGACCCCCGGATCGTCGATCTTAAGGCGATGTACAAAACCATAGAGCACCTGAAGAACACGCCAGAGGTTGGGATTACGGTGATGCCGTTGCGGTCGATCAACGATTCCGGAGATATTGATGTGATTACGGTTGCGTACGGAGATTCGAGTTGGGCCAACGCGCAGCAGATGAAGAGCCAGACCGGAGCGATGATCGTTTGGGCCAATCGAGACGCACTCTCAGGGTCAGCACATGCCTCGTTGGCCGATTGGAGGAGTGCGAGGACGCAACGTCTGGCGAGGTCAACTTTATCAGCGGAGGCTTGTGCCGCTGATGCAGCCGTTGATCGAGGATTTTATGCTTCTGTGGTTTTGTCCGAGGTCTTGACAGGCCGGTCAGACATAGCCAACCGCATAGCTGATCGCACGCCGCCCTGTGTGCCGCTTTACGCCATCACGGATTGTAAGAGTTTGTACGACTGTGTCACCAAAGAGAACCCCAGCTTGGACGGAAAGCGGGCGCTTCTCGATGTTCTTTCTATCCAGAGCAGTCTCGGTCTAGGTTCGATGAGATGGGATCCAACTTCTAACGCGCTAGCAGACCCTCTCACGAGAGTGTCCGACCAGTTGCGCGACAGTTTAGTTCAGTGGCTTAGCGAGCCTGCCATCGAACTGTTCGGAGCCAGTGCCGAGTCAGCTTCAGTTTTTGCGTGATTGCCGTTTTGCTGTCAGACGTCTCTATGAGTTTTCAGCCAACAGAAGAGAAACACCAGTCTGAAACAGGAACTGGTTTAGCATGCCAGCCTTGTCTGTAAACTCCCGCTAGACACTTTTTAGCTTCGAGAGGTCCGAGTGCGTTTCAGCTTCTAGTATTGAGATCAGTGCTTAACGTTTTGCGGCTTCAGCTTGCATAGTTGCCCTCTCAGGTTTGTGCCGCTGCGTGGCCGTTTCGCTCAAACCAGTTTGAGGGGCCCTTCTTGTAGAGCCGCCAGCCGGCGACATCATATATATATATATATATATATATATATATATCTCAACAGATACTGATCCACAGGCATTCAGCATAGCACGCACAGCAGACATATCAGCGATCTTATACTGCCGGGCTCGAGGCCCGAATATTTATTCCGTCCCGCTGGGAGCTGCATGCGCAGGACTGCAGGCCGTGGCCACGCACCGCTCGCGGCAGTGAAAAGAAGTCCGAACATAATATCCGCCCGACCAGCCCATCCTCCCAGATGGGGGCAGGCCCCGCGAAACCCAAAGGACGAGGCACATCCTTCCACCTAGGTGGTTACGTCGGCTAGCGGGGCCCAGGTCACGCAAGTGGGGATACGTCAAGCCGCAAAGATGGGCAACCTTCCAAAGGGCACGCTGGCATCCTTGCCCTTTCGTCCCATCCTTAGCGACTCTCGCTGGCCAGCGTCGTTCGAATTTTTACACAAAAGAAACAACAAAAAGACGAGCGTGGCCTTCCAAGGCCCTCGCCCCCTTGCCGTGCATCCGTATGATACGGGTTGGCTGCAGTGATTGGTGAAAAGGATGCTCGTGCTTGGGGGCGGGCCCCCTCCTCTTCTTTGCATTTCCTCCCCCCCCACACCTGCTGTTGCTGCCCCCCCCTTTTGGCCGCGCCTCCGAGTCCCCCCCCTCGGCAATGGATTGTCAGGCTTTGTTTGGGGCTTAGGGAATAGGGGTCAGTGCAAACGTCGGCGGCGAGCGAGGGGGGGAAGTGAGAAGGAAAAGGCATTTTCAGCATGCGGGCGGGACTTTTCAGAAACTCTCGCGCCTTCTGAGAAGTGTTTCTTGTCTCCGGGGAAGGCTTCGCAAGTTCTCAGAGGGCCGGCCGACCTCCGAGCTTTCTGACAAGGTCTCTCCTTCTCACTTCCCCCCCTCGCTCGCCGCCGAACACGGGGGTCAGTCAGAGCGCCAGATCTGGCAGGGCCCTGCTGAGCCGGGGCGCAGTTGCGGGATTTTGCCACGCCTGTTTGGCCTGGATTGGATTGGCCCGGGTCAGTACATCCCCGACCTGCGGGGTCGCTGCCGCGCGACGCGGGGCGACCGAGTCCGCCCCAGGAAGACACGTTTCTCACAGGACGGCCGTTTGAGACACCAGGCCTTCGGGGACCCCTCGTCGCCACGGCTGGACGCAGCTCGGAAAAATTGCGCGGTTGTACCTCAGGACGGGTCTGGGGACCGATTTCGAGGTGCCGTTGTCTCAAGTCGCCCTGGCCCGAGCTTCGCTCCCCTCAAGGGGCAGGCCTTCTCAGAATGCGACAGGGCTTCTCCGAACCCCTTCTGGCCTTTTGAGAAGCCCTTTGCGGTTCCCAGAGAACACTTGGAAAGCTCCTCCATTCGGAGGCCTCCTGAGCCGTCTGCGAAGGCCCGCCCCTCGGCCTTCCCCCTGTGGACGCGCCTCCGATCACTCCCGCCTGCCCTTCCCTCCCACCGCCCGTCCCTCCCCCAGGCCGCCGGGGACGCGCCTGGCCCCGCGGCGGCTCTTGGGCCCGCCCTGCCCGAGCCCTTCGACTGCGACTTCGGGCCCCGCCCTGCTGCTGCCGCGCGCCCTGTCCGACGACGGCGGCGATCTTGCTGGGCCGCGTTTGCCTCCCCTCGCCGCCGCGATCGAGGTTTGAGATTTGATTTTCTTGGCCGATGTTCGTCCTTTGGGAAGGCCCCTGCGTGAGGAGGAGGAGGCGGAGGAGGAGGAGGAGGAGGAGCAACGCAACAGCCTCGATGTTTATGTATGAGAAAAGTCGAAACGAATGAGGAGGAAAAGGAGGACCTCCCCATCCTCCCCTCTCCCCCGTCCTAGTTATGACAGCGGTGGTGGAAGTTTGGCCCATCACTCTAGGTGGAGGGGCTTCTTGGTCGCCACGGCTGCGTCCGCCTCGAAGTGCTGGCCAATGCGCATCCCAGGAGAGCTACAGGAGCCGATGTTCGGTATGTTCCTGCTTGATCTGTGCGCGACGAGGAGGATGAGGAAGAAGAGGAGGATGAAGAGGAGGACGAGGAGGAACAGCAGTGCGTAGTTAGCGGTAGCAAGGGGACGGGCAGGAGGGCCGAGGGAGCAGGGCCAGGACACCATAGAAGGCGGCAGGAGCAGGATGACCAAGAGAGGAGAAGAGTGAGTGAAAGGATGACGGGGATGAAGATTCTGAGGATGAGGATGCGATGGAAATCTGTGGGGATGGGGAGGAGAAGGACAAGGTCGTCGAGAAAGGGGGGGAGCATGAGAGGATGAGAAGTGCTGCATGGCAAGAGGGCAACGGAGGAGGACGAGGACATGGAGAGTGGATGATGAAAACCAAAAGAGGAACAACAGGAAGATGGCCATACGGGACAGCAGGAGCAGGGACAGGAGCAGGAGCAGCGGGAGAAGCAGAAGCAGCAGGGGCAGGGGAACAGTTGGAATGATGTGTCAGGAGGGGGGAAGGAACATGCGAGGGGGATGTGACACAAAAGGAAGGAGAAGACGCAGCAGCCAGAGGAGCGGGAGGAGCGCGATCAGCGGAGGAGCAGGGGCAGCGGCAGCACGAGGGAGGGTCACCGAAGGGAAGCCAGGAGGAAGATGATGACCCCCCCCCTCCTGTATTCCTCTTCCTCTTCTTAGGGGAGGACTAGGACCCCTCCTCCTCCTGGAGCGTGTGGGCCAGCAGTGCGGCACTGTCGTCGGGGGGGCGCCCTCTCTCACAAGCCCGTTCTTCTCGTCGCCGCCCGCAGGCGCGGCGGCAACGCCGTGGAGGGCTGGTCGGGCTGGAAGAGGACGTGGTGCTGCGAGGCCCTGGGCATGGGGGGGGCGCCCGTTTGGAGCAGGGGAGGGGGGAGGAGGCGACGAGAGGGAAGGCAGGCGGGAGGAGGCGTGGGAGGAGGGGGGGGGCGGAGGAGGAGGAGGAGGGGCATGAGGAGGCGGTGGGGAAGGGGGGAAGGAAGGCGGAGGGACCATGGAGGTGGAGAGGGGTAGGGGACGCGGAGGAGCGGGACGAAAAGGAACGAGGACGAGAGGCAGCGGGACGAGGAGGAATGCGAAGACAAGGAAGAGGACGTTGGTGCGTGGAGTGAACGCCACGGAGGACGGACAAGCCGAAGTCGGAGGAGATGGAGAACGGAAGAGAGAGAGATACAGAGAGGGAGAGCGAGAGAGACAGAGAGAGAGAGAGAGAGAACACAAAAAACAACAAAGGGATATTTCCCATCGGTGTTTGGAAGTAGGTACGCTTGGACTCCATATTCCCATGTACGTTAGGTACCCTCTTTTGTCAGGGATCGAGTGACTTTTCCCTCCTTCCTCATCAGACGGCGGGCGGGACCCCCCCAACCTACCAGGAGCGCCAGAGGAAACCCTTCAAGGGACCCGATTAATTCGAGCTCATTTCGAAATAACGCCGGACCTTGCCCCAAAAATGTGACTGCATCGCAGTTGCTTTTCCGAGTTGTCCAGTCACGCTTCGCGTATCCCCACCAGCCCATCTCAAAGCAGCAACTCTAGCGAAGCATGCCGACAGTCGTGTTTTTCAGGCGTGTGTCCGCCTGCCCCCGCATATCTCCCCTGTTCCTCCTTCCTCCCGCCTCCTTGTACATCCTCCTTGTGGTGGGAGCGGGAGAAGGACGAGGCGGAGGAGGAGGGAGAGAAAGCGCTCCTCGTGGTTTGAGTCGTTTGGGGTTTCTCGTCCTGGTGTGAGTCGTTCGGGCCCTTCTTCCTGGTGTGAGTCGTTCGGGCTCTTCGTGGTGTGAGTCGTTCGGGCTCTTCGTCCTGGTGTGAGTCGTTCGGGCTTCTCGTGGTGTGAGTTGTTCGGGCCCCTCGTCCTGGTGTGAGTCGTTCGGGCCCCTCCTCCTGCCCGTCCAGAAACGACGCCCAGGCGAGTAGAGGGTCGTCTTGATGGGCTTTTCGGCGTCTTGGGTGCCTCGGGGGGGCCTCTTTGGGCCGTTTGGGATCCTCTTGGGGGCCTCCTGGGGGCCTCTTGGGGCCATCTTGGGGCCTCTTGGTGCCTCCTGGGCGCTTCTTGGGGCCATCTTGGAGGAAATCGATCAAAGAAGAGGGGAGCTTTAATTAGCGCTGCCCCCTCAGAAGGCCAAAATGGGGCCAAAATCTTAGTAAAATCAATGATTTTGGCTTGAAAGAAGAGGGGAGCTTTAATTAGCGCTGCCCTCGCAGAAGGCCAAAATGGGGCCAAAACCGTTGTAAATTTAATGATTTTGGCTTCAAAGAAGAGGGGAGCATTTTTCTGCCTCCCCCCGTCGGGGCCAGAATCCTCGTGATGGGTGCCGTTTTTTAGCCCTCCCAGGAGTCGAAAAAGACCCCGCCGGCCACCCGCGGAGGGACCTCTCCAGGTAAACCCCTCCCCGAAGGGGAAGAAGGGGGGTTGAGAACAGAGAGAGCTCGCTAAACCACTCACGCCCAAAGGGCCGGTGGGAATTCTTGACGCTTCGTGTATCCTCATGCGACAGGCGCCCGCCTGCTCCCCCGCTCCGACGGGCGCCCAGATAGCGCTCGCATGGGCAACAGCGCGAGCATACGCTGGGAGGCAATGCCCGTGGGCGCAGTTCAGAAACCACCCGTTCCCAGATGACATCGCGGAACAGATAAGGCGCGAGGAAGCCCTCCTTCCCGAGTCGACGCGCCCCTAGACTCGACCAGGGACCCCAACACGTTCCACCGAGCGTTGGGGTCCCCCCCCGCCACGTACTTGCGCCGGGGATTCGCACCCTCGCCTGGGCGCAGGCACGGCGCGCGCTCAACGAAGCGCTCGAAGCCAAGTGTCAACACAAGCTTCGTGGACCAAGAAGCCTTTTGGTCTCTCCTACGCACTGACCCCTGGACGCAGCCCACATGGGATAGCATGTGTGGTAGCCTCTCACTCGAGGACGTGATGCGAGCTCTCAACGCCACCCCCCCTAACAGCCCACCCAGATTCAGCTGTTGGAACGTGAGATACCTCAGAAGCTGCACCGCCGGAAAGAATCAGATCAAGCACGCTCTGCTGACCCAGGTCACGATGAATAGCAGGATCGCCCTTATTCAGGAGACACACTGGTCCGAACATGAAACTGAAGTGTGGAGAACCATGTTTCCTGCGAGGACCCTTGTGGCCTCACCCGGGCACCTTGGACCTGCTGGAGGACTCGCCGGAGGAGTCGGCATCTTCTTCCCGCATGGTATTCCCCTCTTGGAACAGCAAGCCCTTGTCCCTGGTTGCGCCGTTGCCGCGGTTGTGCAGCTGGGCGAATGGAGGATTCGACTTGTGTCAGTGTACCTCCCCCTACCAGAAAGGAGGAAACCCTCGTTGGTATCGCCATAGCTACCGAGCAGTGGGAGCCGCTCGACACATACTGGGGAGGGGATGTCAACCTACAGCTTGAGCACCCGAGATACGGAGAGTTGGAGGCAGCAGCCCTCCTGAGAGACATACCAGCTCCGGCTCAGCCGCCATGCACATGCCAGGCCCCATTAGAGTTGACAAGGAGAACGAGTCGCAGATTGACACGTGTGCCTGCCCAGTCCAACACATATATGCTTATGAAACCCGGTAGCTGTGGATACTCACGCTGTCGGACCATGCCCTCATCTAACTCGAACCACAGGGCGCGAGAAGGGCCAGAAGGGACGACACCATGAAAGCTGCCGACCCCAGGAATCCCCCGACCGCGGCGCACGTGGAGCTCCGACAGTTGTACGCTCACCTAGAGCTCTCCTTTGGCATGCCGCCCGTCAACCTGAGCGGCCTTATCCAACCTACTGACTGGATTAGACCTGCCCGTCCCGGTGGGTTCCCCGACCGACGCCCGGACAATGACGATGGCGACACTTCCTACAACCCCTCCGGCGCGGACCCCCGCGCGCCAAGAGGGCCAGAAGGCGACGAGCCCACCCCGCCCATCCTCCCCGCCCTCATGAGGTTTGGCAGGCACGCCCTCTCATCTGCTCTGCAGGACTGGTGGAAGAAGTGGAGAGCGCACCGAACGCGAGCCTCCCCAGGCCTGCTGCTCGCTACTGCCAGTCAACAACGAGAGACGACGCGCCCAGTGGGAGTTCTGGCAGCCTGGCTGTATGAGCACGGGTGGGACGGGCAAGACCGAACCCCTGAGCAGGCTGGCCGGTGGCTCAGGACCTGGGGCGCCGAGGTCACGCAGAGAAGATCAGCCCGACTGCCCCCCTCGCAAGGAGGCCCGGGAGCGGAGCGTTCCCCCCTGGCGGCCCACAACAGAACAGGGCGGGAGATCTACAAGAAGACCCACGCAATCCCAGGCGTTCGTGACCACAACGGCACATGGCACGACAGGCCAAACCAGATCGACAACGTCCTTTGGGACAGTCGCAGTGCGATATGGCATTCCGCCCCCACCCTACCATGATCCGCCGGTAGGATACGTGAGTTCTATTTCCAAGAGCACCCTGGGATCGAGATCTCCAGCAGACCCAGACCTAGGTGGGCCAAGCTCGCCACTGCCGTTCTCACACCCAGCGGGAGCGCCCCAGGGGTGGATGGGGTACCTTACGAAGCATATCATCCCGGGGCAAGGTTCGTTGCCTGCCTCATTGCCCAAGCTTGGTACGCCGCTGACCTTTACCCATCACTCGTCGAAGAGGTGCTGGGGCCCTCCGTCGACTTGCTGGTTCGGATAAGGAAAAAGCCTGGTGCGGAAGGCCCCAACGACATGACTCCCCACGTGCATACGGCGGCTGCACGGCGCCTCCCTGGCCGACCTAATTGGCCCAGCTGTCGAACCGCTCCTGGGCCCCAACCAGGCGGCCAAGCGGGGGGGCAATGCGGCCCCAACATGTCGAAGGTGACCCGGCACCTAAGCGCCCCCCCAACCCCCCAGAGGCACCAGGTCCTGGGTGGACCGCGCCCCCTGGGCAACACACAGCAGTCGCAGAGGCCTTTGTCCACCGAGCCGCCTCCGCTGTGGGCGACGCCCCGTGCACGGCGGTCATCTCCTGCGACCAGAATAAGGCCTTCGAAAGAATTTCATTTCAATGGGTAGATAGCCTCCTCCGGAGGTGGAAGCTCCCCTCGCGGTTACTTCACTCACTCAACTTGCCGAGCGAAGAGTGATGACATGCAAGGGAAAGTACAGAGGTCCTGAACAGCGCCTACTGAGGTCCGTCGGGATGGGGGCACTGCCCCCGCTCTCCTCTGGAGCATGGGGTACGACCCCCTCATCTCAGCCATCTCCTCCATCACGGGGGGTGGCGACCCCGCGTGCGTCGACGATCTCGCTGCCTTGGTCAGCGCAACGACGCAGGCGCTACGCGCAGCAATCGCCCTCCCCTGGGCTGCCAAGGCCGCTGGGCTCCTGGTCGAGGCCCACCGCTGCAGGGGAATCCGCGCCGAGGATTCCCCGGCCCTCCGAGCCGCGCTGGAGGAAGCACCTGTCCACTTCGAACAGGACGGGGACAGCGTGCTCATCTCTGGGCCCCCGGGCGAACTCACCCAGGCACTCTCGGAAAGCAATGCAGGGCCCTGCCGCCCCTGGCGGCGCCCCCCCTATCAGCGCGCCTGCAACTGCACCTTTAAGACAGCGCTCGCCCCAGCGGGCAAACAAGAGTGGTGGCGCACCCTAATGGACCACGCCCCCATTGGAGGCTCGTCAGTTAGAGATCAGCGGCCCGACCTGGGGGCAGCGGTGGCGCCCCGCGCCGCAGAAGGCGACGATCCCCCGCAGGACGGGGGACTCACCAAGGAACAGGAGGAGGCCCTATGCAAAGGCACTTGGGACCGTCCCTTGCCGAAAACCAAGGAAGGAGCCCCTCTGCATCTGGCCAACATGTCCCCCTCT